GTCTGTCTGTCTGTCTGTCTGTCTGTCTGTCTGTCTGTCTGTCTGTCTGTCTGTCCGTCTGCCTGTCTCTCTGTCTGTCTGTCCTCTTGTTTATGTATTTGTTTGTCTATTCGTTGATCAGCCTGTCTATTTGTCACCACATTTGTTGATGCTCCGGGGATTTCAACACCAAGAAATATGTCTGCCGGTCTGTTTACGTGTTTATTCGTTGGTGTCTGTATTTTTTCTTCAATCAGTCTGTCAATTTATTGATTTCTTGGTCATCTATCTGTCTATCTATCTACCTACCTATCTACCTACCTATCTATCTATCTATCTATCTATTTATCTATCTACCTACCTATCTATTTATCTATTTATCTATCCATCCATCTATCTATCTATCTATCTATCTATCTCTCTATCTATCTATCTATCTATCTATCTATCTATCTATCTATCTATCTATATATCTGTCTATAGCTTTGGACCTACCTGTTCTCCTTCGATCACCGAAGTCAACCAATGTTGGACGTGGTTAGTGCTTAGATTGCTCCTTTCCTATCAAACTGTATGTTATAGGTTACTTTCTGGATGTAACACCTCAAATCATCGGTATGTGTATGAACTAATTATTTTGCAAGTGCCGTAGAAGTCTAACTGCAACTTAATTAATTTTTTTTTTACATTTAAAACCACAGAAATTTTTTTTATTAAGAATCCAACAGACATGTTTGTGTAGCATAGGGGAAATAATTCATGTAAAATTTTGACCAAATTTCCTACCCTGGCTTATTTTCCTTGAAACAGCTTTCGATCATTCGAAGCGAACAGATTTTCGTATCCCGCCGATTATAAAGTGCGAGCTAGACTGTTTGTGTATTACCCTGTTGACCACCACCTCCCTCCTTTCCCATCCTTCCTTCCTTCCTTCCTTCTATCTAGCTCGAAAACCCTTCTGGTGCATTGTTTATTTATCCATCATCATCCGTCCCGGTCTAATTCTGTTTGATCTTCCCCTTGATTCAACGATAGCGCAACACGGCTAAACGCGCCATTCCTGATAACACAACATCACTGTAATGATCCCGGACTGTCACAATAATGTGCTGTCACTATAATATCATTATTATGTGACCTCATTATTGCTGCTAAGAAGACCACTCGCTCTCAGTCGCCGTGTCGTAGTGGGTAACGATTGCCCTCGCCAATCACCACACCGCGCGCGTGTGTGTGTGCGTATGCGTGTGCGTGCGTGGGTGTGCGTGCGTGGGTGTGTGTTTGTGTATGTGTGTGCGTGTGCATGATAAACAAAAGCGCTGCTCACACACACACACACACACACACGCACACGCACATCGATCTGAACTATGATGATGGCTGCTTTCTACCGGGTTACATAGGACGGCCTCTATAATCGTCGTGTACTTTATCATCTCTCTCTCT